TCCCCGCGCGCGAGCGCGAGTGCGACGACCCCGAATGGCTCGATTGCGTCTTCGAGTGGTGTCCGCTCCCACCCCCCGAGTGGGAGTTGGACCGCGAGTTGGACCGCGAATGCGAGTACCCGCGCCGATGCGCGCGCAGGCTCACATTGCTCGCCCGCGGGGAGAGCAGCCCCACGCGGTCCCTCGCGCTCGCCCGCGTGCTCATGCGACCCCTCCGACTCGAGCGCGGCCTCCTCCCCGTGCCCCTGCGGCAGTAGCTCGTGCTCGGCCAGCGGCGCCCCCGGCTGCGGCCCCGCCCCAAACGCACTCGTCACGCCGCTGTCCATGCGCTCCCCCACGGCGGCGCGCGGGAAGTCCACGGGCAGCGGGATGGACAGGGACGACGCGGACACCGACCCAGCGGGCACGGGCACCGTCCCTGCGTGACTGCGCCCGCGGCCCTGCTGCGGGTGCCTCGGTGGCGGCGGTATCGTGATCCCTGCCCCCGCGCTATGATGCCTCCCATTTCCATTTCCATTCCCGGTTGCACTATGCGCAGGGCTGTCCGCGAGAGAGCTCGCAGTCCGCGCTGAGCTCGGGCTCTGCCCTGAGCTGCTCGACTCGACGTTGCCGGTGCTCTGCGACAGCCGTGAGTGCGCGCCGGTCGAGCCGCACGTGTTGGTCGAGCCCCGGGTGTTGGTGGAGCGCGTGTTGGCGTTGGTCGAGTGCGTGGCGTGCGAAGACGCGCTCGCGCCCCGTGCAGGGCGGCGGAACTGGAAGGGGTAGCGCGACGTGACGGGCTTCCCAAGGCTCGACATCGAGCCCGACACGCGCTCAGAGGACGGCACCTCGCTGCCAGGGAGCCCTTCCTCTTCCTCTTCCTCCTCTTCCTCCTCCTCCTCCTCCTCCTCCTCCTCCTCCTCCTCCTCCTCTTCGTCTTCCTCGAGGTCCTCGTCGTCTTCATCTTCTTCCTCATCCTCCGCCTCCTCCAGACTCCCACTCGTATCGCCCTGCGCCTCCGGCGGCCCAGGCGACGGCAGGAACGGCACCATCACCCGGTCCCGGCTCGACATCTGCGCCCCCGGGCCCGCGAACAGGTACCCCGCCCGGCCCGGCAGCGCCTTTTCCTTTTCGCGCTGTTCCTGTCTCACAACCTGCCATCCGTGTGTCAGCCCCCATCATCATCTCACTGAGATAACGAACAGAAACTAACCTTGACCCCCTCCTCCGGCTCCTCAAACAGCTCGCCCGAAAGCACCCCGCGCCGCGCAGGCGGCGGCGCGCTCGGGAACCCAATCGCCGCCATCACCTGCTCCATCCCCTCAAAGCCCGGCGTCGGCGCCGGCGTCGTCCCCGCCAACAGCTCGCTCATGTCCGCCTCGGCGTCCGTCGTCTACACCGCACATCAGCTCGATCACCACCAAGTGGGGGACAGCGAATGCACCTCGCGCTTGGCATGCGCCACATGCGCGCTGGGGTGCCCTGACAAGCAAAACTCCCACGCGCCGCGCACGCGCGTGGCGGTCTCCTCACGCCACCGCCACAGGAGGGGCTCGTCCGCGGAGAGGTTGTCCGCGTACGCTGCCGTGCTCTTCTCATGTGCCTCTTCCTCCCAGCGGTGGCGCGGGCCGCAGATGCCGCTGCAGGGCGCGCCGGAGAGCAGCAGGAGGCCGAGCCTGGGGAGGTGCGTTAGCGAACGGACGAATGAGGAAGAAGGGAAAAGAGGGAGGGAACGTCGAATGGCTTGGCAGACAAACAGAAACCAGCTCACCACGCCCCTAAACACACCACGCCCCGCCACACCGCCCACGCCGCGTTCGCGAGCAGCACGCCGCGCGCGTAGCCCGTCAGCGCGCCGTCCGCGCGGAAGAACGTTGCGTCCCGCGCGCTTGTGCTCGCGAGTCCATTTGCATTTGCGTTCCCAGCCTAAAAGGGGGGGAGCGTTAGTTTTGGTGGTGTAGAGGGAGGGAGGTGAGAAGGCGGGGAGAAGAAACCCCTCACCTTTGCCCAAAACCCAATAAGCACCGCGGCTGCGATCCCTGCGTGTGGGAGCAGCAGCGCGACGGTGGGGCCGTTCTGCGCGTAGAGCGCGCAGCTCTCCGCGAGGATGCTGCGCCGCGAGGGCGAGGCGGGCCCGGGCGGGAGGGGGGGGCTGTGGAGACGTACATGAGCGTGAGTGAGCACGGTGGACTTGGATGTGAGAGAAGGGAAAGACATACCCCGCGGCGTTGACCGCCGTCGTGCTGCTGTACCCCCGCGCATGCGGGGCGTATGCGCTGCCGGACGAGGCGCGCCGACCGTGGTCGTGTGTGTCGGGGTGTGTGTTTGCCTAGGGGTAGGAGTGGGAGGGAAAGGAAAAGTCAGTGTTTGGTATTCAAGATTCGTTCGGGGGAAAGGAAACGAAAATGAAATGAAAGAGGGGAGAAGGGAGAAGGAAGGGAAAGAAGGGAAGGGAAGGGAAGTAGTGTAGTTAGTGGAAGGGAAGGGAGGGGGGTAGAAGGGAAGGCAAACAGCACAATGCGATAATAAATGAACGAGCAACTCGGAGTCTTGGTTGTACGAACGACGAAGAGCCGTATGGCGTCGACGGAATGCAGTGAGAAAAGAAAAGCAAATGAATAGGTAGTGTGGTGCAGAAGGTACGTGTGTGGATAGATAGGTAGTACAAAGGAAACGGAAACAAAGATCATAGAAGAGGCCGGTGAAGGTAAGGTAAGTTGCTCGAAAAAACACCGCCGCCACGCGTGTACCGCCCCACACAAAAAAAAAACAACTCACCTCCCCCCACGCGCCCCACCTCACATACTGCAAAAAGCAAAACGCCGCATACCCCGTCATTCCCGCGAGCGCATACGCCGGCGCACTCAAATATATCGCCAGCACGCGCGAAGCAGTACACGCCCTCGTACACCAGCACCACGGCGAAGAGCCAGAGCGCCCAGCAGGCGGTGTAGGCCGCGGCGGCGAGGGCCCAGTTGTGCGGGTTGTTGGAGGGGGAGGGGTGCAGCGCGATTCTGCGGGGTGTTAGCTGTGTGCTGTATAGAGAGAGAGAATGGGGACGCACTGGATGAGCACGAAGACGGCGTTGAAGTCGAAGAAGGTCTGGAGGGGGATGTGGGCAAAGACAAGGAGGGGCCAGAGGTAGAAGTAGAGGCGCTTCCAGGGGGAGGGGGAGCGCTACAACCACCTTGCAATCAGCATCCACCCACATGAAACGTAGGAGGGCACGAACGAGTAGCTCGAGCCGCAGGCCACGGGCACGGAAGCGCGGGGTTGCGCACCGCTCGTCTTCGGCGCTGAGCGCGGCGTGGGCCGAGAAGAGCGGGACACCCATCCCATGGGACCACATGCGCGGCGCGGGCGGCTGGTCATGGCCGTGGTTCGTAGCGGCCACGTGCCCGCCCTCCAGACTGACGATGCGCACACTCCGTGGCGTCGCCTTGCGCCCGCCCACGAATGGCGGCGGCATGCTCGGAACCTCCCCCGTGGGCTGCTCGGCCCCGGCGCAGCGAGCTCAGAATGGTACGTGCTCGTGGGGGCGGGGTGCAGGGGGTGTTTGGGCAGCCAGGAAGGATACCCCTCCGAGTCCTTGCTCATCCTCCTGTGTGCCGAATCCGAACTAGAGTTTTTGTTGGCGTCCGGGATGTGCTGCAGCTGCTCCAGCAGAGACTCGACGGCAAGGGATGAGGCGGGGTCGTTATCTGGGGTTGACATTAGTATCGTTCAAGTGGCGCGTCGGTGGTCGTGGTGGTCGTACGCGACACCTTCTGGGCGCGGTAGCCTCGTGTATGATGGCAGCGGTCTACAAGAGGCACCAGAAATGAAAAAACAACCAACCGTGATTGCTGACAAATCCACTCTATTGCTAGCGCTATCTCCACGCGGCTATCTCAGGGTCCTCCACGTCTACGTCGATGCGGGCTGCCAGTCGGAGGGAGTATACTTGGAGTATACAACAAAAGAGAGCGAGAGATGAAAGGAATGTAAGTATTTGAAGGAATGAAGGTTTGAAAAGAGATGCACAAAGCACCCGTTCGCCGCCCGTTGCCAGGCAATTCAATCTACCTCCGCGGATGCTAATCAATAAGCCCCTATTTGCTTCAATTCTGCTCACTACTACTGATACGGCCTCAGATGCCCATAAACAGGTTTATTCTCTGAATTGACGTCACTGTTCCATTCCCCTCCATTCACCGCGCTTCGATGTATATCCGCACCGCGATTCGCAGCTTCCATTTCAACCCAAATCCTTCGACTTCCCACCGGGATTTAATTTGCCAACTACGTTGTATGATTCCCGATTCAGCCTCCTGCGCCGCTCGAGATACGTACCCTATCCACGACTCACACAAGTCGGACATGGTGTACGGAACACCGCCAGCTTTCTTGTATTCATGAGCTTTTGCTGTAGTCGCTGGCAGTCCGGGGTTCGACTCCCCGTGTCCGAATGAAATTCATTTGATATTCTTTTTGGTTTTCCTTCCTTCCTTCCTTCTTTTTTTTTGGGGGGGGAATCCCTGACACCGCTCTATTTTGCCCAATCTCAACTCAAATTCCGCCGCAACGGTGCATCCTCAGATCAGATTGGTTTGGTTAGATCCGATGATTGCTCTTGCGTCACTTGACCTTCGAGTTTGAACCCAGCCAATCTAACTCAAAACTGCGTTAGCTCGCCTCCATCCTCCCCACAAGGGACAATAGTCGGATGTGGTGTACGGAACATCGCCAGCTTTCTTGAATCCTTGACCAACATGTCGCTGGCAGCCCGGGGTTCGACTCCCTGTGTCCGAATGGCAATGACTCGTGTTTCCTTTTTTTTTTGGGTGGGATGCTCCCAGGTGCCATTCTCTTTTGCCCAATGGCAGCAGCCGATATCGTTATCTCAAATGCTGCTCCGACTTCAAATTGGTTTGGTAGATCCGATGATTGCTATTGTGTCACTTGACCTTCGAGTTTGAACCCAGCCAATTTAACTCGAAAGTGTGTTAGCTCGCCTCCATCCTCCTTACAAGGGAAAATAGTCGGACATGGTGTACGGAACACCGCCAGCTTTCTTGAGATGTGTTGAACAGCAAGTCGCCGGCAGTCCGGGGTTCGACCCCCCGTGTCCGAATAGATCGAAAACTTTCTTCTTTTTGCCTTTCCCTCTTCTTTCTTTTTGGTAATTCGAAGACTGCTGAGGCCGTCCCTTTTCTGTCCAGCGGGCAAATAATATTGAATCGGATTCTGCTCCAACCTCAAATTGGTTTGGTAGATCCGATGATTGCCGTTGTGTCACTTGACCTTCGAGTTTGAACCCAGCCAATTCAACTCGAAGCTGTTACCCTCGCCTCCATCCTCCTCACAAGGAAAAATAGTCGGACGTGGTGTACGGAACATCGCCAGCTTTCTTGAGATGTATTGAACAGCATGTCGCTGGCAGTCTGGGGTTCGACTCCCCGTGTCCGAATAATGGGATAATCATTATGACAACGTATTCTTTTTGGCCTTTCCTTCTTTCTTTTTGGTAATTCGAAGACTGCTGAGGCCGTCCCTTTTCTGTCCAGCGGGAAAATAATATTGAATCGAAAGTTCTGCTGCAACCTCAGATTGGTTTGGTTAGATCCGATGATTGCTGTTGTCTTGACCTTCGAGTTTGAACCCAGCCAATCTAGCTCGAAACTGTTAGCTCGCCTCCATCCTCCTTACAAGGCAGAATAGTTGGATGTGGTGTACGGAACACCACCAGCTTTCTTGAAACCTGCAAACCACAAGTCGCTGGCAGTCCGGGGTTCGACTCCCCGTGTCCGAGTAGCCAGGAGTTCGTTCCTTTTTTGTTATTCAAGAACAACCCAATCCCTGATATCCTCCATTTGTGTCCGGGAAGCAGCTAATCAACCCTATTAACTCAATTGAATCGAGTTCTGCTGCACCCTCAAATTGGTATGTTCGACGCTGATTGCTGGTTGCGCATGCTTCATTAATTAAACCCATCCAACTGCAACCAACAAACCCCACTCAACTATCCTTCTACTCAACTCCTCCTTACAGAAGCTAATATTCGGATGTGGTGTATGGAACACCTCCGGTTTTCCTGAAGGCGCAAGAAGATGATCCAGTCACTGGCAGTCCGGGGTTCGACTCCCCGTGTCCGATTGACCTGTGTTTTCCCTTTTTTGTTTTTTTTTTTTTTGGGGGGGGGGGATGCTCCCAGGTGCCATTCTCTTTTGCCCAATGGCAGCAGCCGATATCGTTATCTCAAATACTGCTCCAACGTCAATTGGTTTGGTAGATCCGATGATTGGTGTTGTGTCACTTGACCTTCGAGTTTGAAGCCAACTGCATCTTCCATTCCTTGAATCCATTTGTCTTGACTTATTATATTTTCTTTCTCCTTCAGCCAGGTCAAGAAATCATCTTTACAAGACCTTCAGAGCTGCCTATCAATACTACCTTGAAATGAACCTTCTCTTGTTTGATTACACTGTTTCCAAAATGACTTTGCTCACCAGTATATTCCAGAGGACCTCTGAAAACATGTGAGTCGGGATGAAGGAATATGTCTTGGCAGTGGTGCTGCCCATCTTTGTTGCGAGGCCATCAGTGCTGAACTCACTTTGAAAGATCTTTTTAAACCCACCTTGAAAAACCTGTATGCACCTCCACTTTATTGTGTTCAGGGCAATCACTTTATTCTTCACTCAAGTACATGGTATTTTCTTGTGCCTGCACTCATTGAATTAACACTATACTATGCCTCAGTTGTGCGATACCCCAGCCTCACCTTTTTTGAAACTGCCGAAAATCCATGGCCCGGGAGGCACAGCTGCCTCACAAAGTGCCATAACCTTCAATTCAACGAGTTATTTGAGATGGACTGGGGCGACTTCAGTGACAGTGCCAGCGACACTTCTGGTGGTGTTCCCGAGTCTGATCCAGAAGATGACAATGATGAGAACTTTCTTTTAGCTCCTGTCCTCACTGCACCAGCTTCCCCCTCAATTCAACCACTCCCATTATGCTCTTGGGTGGCATCTTCATTGGTACGTCCTCAATCTGATCTTGCCAGTCACTGATTGAGTTAAATTGTAGTCAGGTTCCACCAGCGCTGTGCCTGTCGCTCACACTCCACTTTCAGTATTGTTTCCTCTCACCGCAATTGCAATCACTTTCCAGTCTGCCTCTGCTGCCGTGTGTGAGTTCAGTTGGTGAATATGCATAACATCAATGCTGATAACTGTTCACCTCAGAGCCAGGCACCATGCTGAAATGGCGAAACGTAAATGTGCAGCATCTTGTACTATTTTTGCGATTCCAATGACCAGTATTTATATAATGGGAAGCAACTAGCATTTCTGTCGTTACTAGCTAGCTAATATGCAGACTGTGGGAAATCAGATCACGCGGGAGTTTGAGCCAACCAAGATATATTCGAAGCCAAACGAGAAGGTGTCAGGGGATGCAGGAAAGCTAAGGAATACGTTGATATGTGCGGAATATAAGTAAAGAGGCAGGGGACAGATAGGGGGGTAGTGAGGGAGTATCAAAGAGATAATGAATGCAATTCGGGGAAAGCGGCGCGCAACCGATCACTTTCTCAACACTCCCACTGAGCGTTGTGCGCCGCTGTACAGTAATTAGCGATGCGGATGAATCAGAGTCCAAAAAATAAAGAAATAGTCCAAAGCTCCCACTGGAGCGGAACACACATTAAAATGCGTAGGTCTGAGCAATATTGGCGGTGGTGTCCGGAGCGTCAGGCTCGGTGCATTCACTCTGGAAGTGTCCCAACTTCCGGCACTTGTAACAAGTGATGCGTGATTTGTCTCGCATCGTGCAAGCAGCGAAGGCAGTCGGGGGGGTGTCAACGGCACCAGGCAGGGAGAGCGAATCCGCCTGGCGGGCTTCTTCATTCAACAATCGACCAATAACGAAGTCGAGGTCATCCTTCTGTGCGTGCAAGTCGAGAGAAATGATGAGAGTGTCGTAAGCCAAGGGAAGGGACATGAGAAGTGTGGTGTCAGCAACGGCCTCTGGGTCGGCTAAACAGCGAGTAACCCGACGAGAACCCCAACCAGGATAAACCCGATAGACGCTAGTAGCTCGTGTGTTCCCCAAGCAGTAGGACCAGTCGTACGGCGTCCTCCCTAGGAGGCCGTATGTCGTAGGTCGGGATGCGAGGCGGAACCCGGAACGAGTTGAAGAGGGTGTGATATCCACCCAGGTATATAACCCGGGGCGTGAATACAACCCGTAGTACGGTGCGAGGGAAGCGGGGCAGGTGGAGACAATGCCTATGTCAAGCCAAGGTAGAAGCCTGAGATTAGACGAGGTAGAATCTACTGTACATGGAGATTCTACCGTGCTTATATAGGCTTCTAATAAATTAAAGTAATTGCGGTCAATCGCGATCAGTTCCTGCACCGTAGCATTAAGGAGCATTAATGCTGATGCTCCTGGACTCCTCTGTGTTGGTTTCCGTGGTGTCGGTGGACCTAGGAGACCCGACACTCGGGTTTCCTAGTCCTAAGTGTCATCGTATCCAGTGGTTCAAACCCCAATCAGGTTTGCAATCACTCCTGTACTTCGTGTACTCTTCTGTGTCAGCCCTTGGTGTGTCCGGGGACTAGAGTCCATCTGTACAGTGAAACACTGACTATGGGGCTGGCGGTGAAATAACCACAACACAAACCTTGTAAATGAATATGCGGTTCGATAATGCAACTACAACAACTCAAACACTATAGTCCTCGTGGAAGTTCGGGGTTCCAATCCAGTATAGATTGTGGCAATTTGAACTTTAGTTCTCTTTGGGAAGCCAGACTTTACAGGTCTACAAGTCATATAGATAAAACTTGCTCGAATCCGTTCTAGGCGCAATCACGATAGACAGATGAGATTTTATGTTCAACGGTTTTGTATGATGTGGGTCTAGGTTTGGAGATAGTACTCCAATGCGTAAAGCAAGTGATTCTTATGAATTCCGATTCCAAATAGTATCTGCGATTGCTAATCCTTGCGAGATTACAACCAATTGTCAAGTCCGGTCCGTTTCCTTATATTCCACGTGTCTGTTCCGTTTATCCAATATGTCTACGCGTCGTTTATAAAGATCCAAATCCAACACAGTTAATATTCAAACAGGGAAAACAAACGAAACTTGGTATAGCTTCTGGGTGTCTCCGAATGAATGACTACTCTACCGGTTAAGCGTGAAGTCTAGTAACTTCGCGTCCAACAGGTGGGGTGAGATTCACTGGTGTTCCTCCCATAACCATCCACTTAAATACGTTACAGAATTCTAAATATAAACGAGACTGATACAAACGAGCAATAGGGTTCAGGGTATATGACTAGTGGTATGGCAGCTAGCCGATGAACTCCTGTCAGATATCAAGCGATTAGTAAAATTGAGAGAGATTTATAAGAAACATCAACGAGCCGAGCTTAACAATGAGTCAAGATCTACATCGCTTAGAACGATCGTGATGGGATATTGTTGATATGTCAACTTTTAGCCGACCTCCTCGTCAGCACTCCGTTACCCTCCTTGGTAACCATCCGTCCAAATAGTTCCGCCTTGAACCGCTTAAGTGATTTGTCTGAAAATCGTGATAGCCACCGCTTCCTAGTACCCGAGTGTGTTTTCTTAGTCAATTGGTAGATTGACCAAGTCCAGCCCTCTCTTGGCAGTTCTGGAGACGTCAGATGATGCCTAACAATGATCCCTCTGGTTCAGAAGGATGTTCCCTCATAATATGCCCTTAGTCAGGGATGTGCAGTAGCCCCAATCCGTTCCAGGATGGTAAGGTACTTTCCGTGATTGCTCCATTAACGACTTCCCACTTCAACCCTTTACCAGGATTGTCGTCCAGCGCCTTTCTAATGGTTCGTGACACATTATATCCCTTTTAGCTAACTGCTCAGGCCAGCAATAGCCCTCGTGAGATGATGTCGTAATGTAATGAAGTACATTATAGTATGTTGCAACTTGAGCAGATTTGAATAAATGCCCGGGTGCCCCAATACCAGGTCTGTCAACGGGTTCCTAGTCCCTAACGTCTTCTGTATCCCGTGGCGCAGACTCCCTGAGTCTGCGGCTTTTAGAATCCGAGGCCGGGTTTCAACTGTGAGAAGGTCACGTGGTGGCGTCATGAGAGTCCCGTGCCGCTAAGACGCGTCTGTATCCATACAGATGCGTCACGCGAAAAAGTAGAACCTGGGCGATTCATGACATCACCCCTCCTCTTCAAGGTCATTGTCCTCAACGACCCGTAGGTACCGCGTCCTGAGGTGTAGCTGTACCTTTATTGCAATGTACCCAGCCATGGCAGGGGGGTACATTGGATTAAAGGCACTGCTTGGCTGGTCAGCCAGGGTGTACCTTTAATGCAATGTACCCTTGCCAGCCAATGAAAGAAAGCAAATCAAAGCAAAATGATGCTGTTGCCGGGAATTGAACCCCAGACATCCAGATACCACAACTATTTTAAGCCATTGGTTATTACCACTAGACTATCAGACCATTGAGATGGGTTAAATTCTGATGACCATATACAGCAGCCTTGCTTTCTTATTTGACACTTCTAATACCCAGACCTAGGGCAGGCAAGCTGCCCTAGGTCTTTGAAATTGTTCCTACATGCTTATTCTGTGTTTTTGTGTTTAAAAATCCTTCAACATTTTTTTTTTCAATATCCCTGGGGCCTAACACTAACCAACCCTAACCTCTAACCCTAACCTCTAACCCTAACCTCTAACCCCTAACTCAAACCTCTAACCCAGACACTAACCCTAAACACTAACCAAGCCCCTAGTGGGGCAGAATAGGTCAGCACATAGTAATTATGTGTTTGGGACCACATAGTATATACCCATCAATTTTATCCATGCTATCTCTCCCTTAGTGTAGTGGTTGTGATGTTGCCTTCTTTCTGATTTGATGCTTAGGTAATATGTGTTGGCTTTTGGTTCAAACCTCGGGACTAGCACTTCTTTTATTTAAATAGCCCAGGGTACATTGCATTAAAGGCACATCACGGCTGCCCAGCCAAGGTGTGCCTTTAATCCAATGTACCGCCCTGCCATGGCTGGGTACATTGCAATGTAGTTACAACTACTGGTGTCATTTCGGATTTTCTTGGAGTCTGTACTCC